CGAGCAATGTGCTGGCCGCGGCTTCTCGCCGCCCCCATTGGCCCGGGATGGCGAACCGTGGCCAGTGGGGGCGGCGAGAAGCGGCGTGGGCGAGCAATGTGCTGGCCGCGGCTTCTCGCCGCCCCCATTGGCCCGGGACGGCAAACCGCGGCCCGTGGGGGCTGCGATCGGCCGAACCTGCCGCGTCAGCAGGTAAATAAACTGGCCCGGCCCGCCAGGGTGCTTACCCTGGCGAGCTACGTGCCGAACGTTGCTGACCCCTGCTGTAGTCAGTGCAGGCTGGGTCTCCTTCACCACTCCCTCCCAAGTCCTATGGAAAGATAATACAACCAAAGACTACATAAGCTTTTCCCCACCATGGGATTCCCTGGGAACTGTGCAGCCGGATGGTAATCCCTAGTATCACGACTCCAATGGATCTGTGCTGGGCGTGGGGGGACAGAGCCTATGACTTGAGAGACCTGGGTTCAGTTGCTTGCTGTGCCACAGACTTCCAGTGTGACCTTGGGCAAGTCGCTTAGTCTCTCTGTACCTCAGTTTTCCAAATGTCAAATGGGGATAACAGCACTTCCCTACCTCACAGGGGAGTTGAGGATAAATGCATTAAAGACTGTGAGATGCTCTGACCCTATGGTAAAAGGGGCCAGATATGTAGCTTAGAGAATGGAGGGGGTACAGCCAGTGACCAAAGTTGGTGCAGGGCCTCCATATATGTTCCTGATACCACACAGATCTGGGGGGCAGGAGGGAGGGAGGGAAGGGAGATCTACCAGATTAGAAAGAACCTTGTCTACATCCCACCCCTGGCAAAATAGTTTGAAGTAATTGCCGCAAGAAATTCCATATAAAAAGCACCTGCCCTACCACCACCACTTTTGAAATGGGAAGGCTTCTTTGGGGTTTTTTGTTACCACTTAGGCCTTGTCTAAACACACAAGTTGTACCACTTTAATTATACGAGTATAGTTAATGCAGTACAAACCCCACCCTTGAGTGCAAAATGTAGTTGCACTGGTGTAACTATGCTTATACTGGTATAGCTTATTCCCCTTCCCATACAGAAATAAGCTACATCATTTATAGGCGCATGTACGCTGGTATAACTGCATATTATTTAAAAAATTACACATCCCCAATGACACAATTATACTGGTACAAAAACTGTGTGTAGACCAGGCCTCCTTCCACTCCAAGGCATAATTAACACTTGAGGGTGGGGGGAAAGCTGTTTTTGTTAAATGCAATGCAACACACGTGCTCCTTCTCCGGCCTGGGTACTTGCAGTACACCTCTCCTGAGGAACCCCTCCACTCCTAAGAAGTTCTCCAGCAAAACCAGGGAAGAACAAACTTCTCATTCCTGATATTTCTAGTAATGTTTAAAAAAATACCTCCTCTTGTTTCCCTTTCTTTTGAAGGGGATAAAATAAACTTTGTGGGCCTGGTCTTTATACACACACACACACACACACACACACACACACACACACACACACACA